TTTTTTTTTTTTTTTAATTATGCCTCTGTCACTAATGGCCTATGGGATATGAAGGAGATGGAGGTTTCAAGGATGAGCCTTAGGTTTCTGACTTGCTGGGCTCCTGGGACAGCAGAGTATCCCTCCAGCTCCTGGCCTTCCAGCTATTAATGTTGACCATTTCCTCTGAAATCTAGTCCGAGATCAGAAAAGGAGGCCTAGGAGTGAGAGTGTGGTTTTTACTTTCTTAATATGTTTTTGTTCCTTTTGTCTGCCCACGCTTCTGCCCCCAGTCTGCATTCTTTTTATGAAAAAATACAATAAAACTATTTTCTTTTGAGTGGAAAAAAAGAGGGAGTGGGAGTTTGACATTGGGCGATGGCCTTCAAAAGTTCCACATTTTCTCACATTACGGGGAGTGTTACACTCTTCCCTTAAAGCAATCTTAATGTTTTCTGTGCGTGGTACACAACACAACTCTGAATGAGCTAATCACTGTGCCTGAGAATTTGTAAATCTTCTGGCTGGGCCAATCTTTTAAATAGAAAAGCTACAGACTTTTGCCTGCATCTGTTATCAAAGAAGATTCCTGCGCCCTCAGATGCCAGAAGCAAAGAAAAGGTAGAGTAGAAATCCCACAGCTTCTTAGTGAGTATCTATAAAAAAAAAAAGAAACCCACACACTGACAAAGTCAGTGACCTTCAAAGAACATTACACAATATAAACCAAACTCACTGCCATCGAGTGGATTCCGACTCATAGTGACCCCATAGGGCAGAACTGCCCCATGGGGTTTGCAAGACTATAAATCTTGGCGGAAGCAGACTGCCACATCTTTCTCCCACGGATTTTGAACTGCTGACCTTTTGGTTAGCAGCCAAATGCTTTAACTACTGTGCCACCAGAGCTCACTTAGGTACAAATAGAGACTATCACCTTTAAATGAATTAGATGTCGGAGGAACACAGAGACCAAGACAAAATTGGCTGAACTCGGTATCTAGTAATTATTGTGTAACTCTTCCGCTGACTGATTTGATGAGCTCAATGATACACCTATTATCAATGATTTAACTCTTTTTTTATTTAAAAAAATGGGAGAAGTAACAAAATAATGTCAGAAGAAGAAGTCAACAGTGGGATACCCCCTAATAGTTTGAATATAAGGAAGGGTGGGCAATCTACTTCTGTAGTGGTACCACCTCGGAAACCCAAGGAGGGGTTGCTATGAGTCGGGCCGACTCAACGGCACATAACAACCTCTGTATAACTTTTAAAACCTACAGACAATATGTAACTCAAGAGACTGCAGAATTTGGGAAATGGTAAAACTCCAAGGAAATTCATATCGAGTAATTTCTGTGAGGCAGTACTAGGATATGATTGAAATTCAGTAGACAGAAACCAAATCAACGATATTATTCTATGTTTGGAGACATATCACGTGAAGGGGTTTGTTTGAGCATAGAAATACATGAAAAGGAAACTCAGAGTAAAACTCTGATAGTTTCCAAACCAAGAACTGCCTGGGGGAGAAGCCTTGGATAAGATGAATGGAAGGTTTAGCTTTCCTTGCCAGAGCCATCCCTATGAAGTATGAGTGCTTCAAGCTTCTTTAGCTGAAAGCTACTTCTTAAGGTGAACCAACTGCCCTTTCTATGATTGCAGGCTCAACAAGTAACCTTCTGAAGATGTGGCTTCCCAAGTAGTAACTTGCCTATATGGAGAGAATAGGTCAACTGACAGAAATTTCCAGTACCCCCTGACAGTTGTTGTCTTTCTCAGGTAAATTATTTAGCTGGTACTCCTGTTGAGACTTTGCTTCCCTCATGGCCTACTTACAGAGAGAGAATGTGGAGATCCATGGGTTTGAGCATGCAAATCTAGATTTATGTCAGTTTCTGCGAATGGGCGTCTTTCCTTGACAGAGCCATCTGTCGTGGTGTATAGACAAAATCTGTAGATAATGTAACACTGAGGACATGACCCTTGTGGAATCCTGTCAGGGAAGCCAGGTGGCCTTGAGTCAAAGGACAACCTTCTGCATCATTATTTCAGAATTGTAGCTCCCTAAAGTTAGGAGCTCTGGTAGCATAGTGCCTAAGGCACTTGCCTGCTAACCAGACGGCTGGCGGTTCAAACCCACCAGCCACTCCTCGGAAGGAAGGTTGGGCAATCCTACTTCCGTAGTGATACTGCCTCGGAAACCCAAGAAGGGGTCGCTATGAGTCGGGGCCCGACTCGACAGCAAACAACAACAACAACAACAAAGTTATGTTACACCACAGTTAAGAAATGCTGTGGTCAGTAGGTCCCAACACGTCAGTCACAGCTAGGCAAAGTAGGTAAAGGACTCCTACGAATCAACAGCAACATTAAAAATAGTTTATAGTCCTCTCTGGGAAAAGAAAGGGTGTTCATTTTACATACTTTTTCATTTCCCCCAGCAGAGGATGGGCAAGTAGCACAGAACAAGCCAACCAATGCCCTCTTACTAAAATCTGAATCTTGAGCAGAGAGATAAAAAGCTGGAAGTCGATGGGATCATGGTATTCTGATGAGACCCATTTATCAATTCCTGCTACCCAGACCTTTCACAGCTGAACCTGGTTTTCACCATTCTCTCATTAGTAAGTTAACCAAGTTTGGGTTGTGCTGCTTGGAACCAAAGAGCTGTAATTAATATAAATAACACAATACAATAAGTAATATTTTTCAATAACAATCTTCTATAATGTATTTTCTTCACCCTCTACAGTTTCATCGGTATTGCCATCTGCTGAACCCTTTTTTGTTTTCAGGCACTATTCATTGTATCACATTTGACCACAAACGGATTTAAGCCAAAACATTCCCTTTGGCTGTGGCTTCACATCCTCTTTTGCAGGCTCAGGAACTTTTAACAGTGTTATTTGAAGAACTGCTTAAGGATTTTCCTTTTGAAATAGTATATGAGGCACGTAAGACATGTTATGTATAATGGAGAGCCAAGTCTTTTTAAAATACAAGTTCCCAGGTTCCTTGGCAGGAATTGTGGGTCAGAATGATGAAGAGGTGAGAGTATTTAAAGTGTAGTCATGCTCATGGGGTTTAGGAAATTTGAGACAGATTCAAACCTGTAAATTTCTGACAGACCGGGAGAAGAGGGGGTGTGGCTGGAAAGTGGGAGCTATACATTGGAATATTGGAGAAT